TCTAAATTGAAATAATACTTTACCTATAACTGTGAGTGTTACTTTATTCGATGTTCAACTTGATGAATTGTTGCATATGTTAAGATTGAGAAAATAATCCATATAATGGATTATCTAAGACCTTAGATGAATTAGCCCTTCATTTTGTATGCATAGAATCTTAATGAAAGATAGCCATAAATTTGTTGTTAAAAATTAGAAAAGGCTATATCCTAACATGAAAGAAGTAGTAAGGGCTGAAATTCTTAAATGGCTAGATACAAGAATTGTTTGTCTTATATATGATAGTTCATGGACTACCGAGCAAGTAGTACCTAAAAAATGTGTGATGACTATTGTGCGTAAAGAACATAATTGACTAATTTCCACTAGGATACTAACTAGATGGAGATTTGCATAGATTATAGAAAACTTAATGGTGCTACCTATAAGGATCATTTTTCTTTGTCTTTTCTTGATCAAATGCTTGAAAGAATTTTAGGGTATGAATATTATTGTTTACTAGATGGTTATTTAGGGTATAACCAAATTTCTACAATCTCAAAAGACCAAGAAAAGACTATTTTCACATATCCTTATAGTACGTTTTCATTTCGTAGGATGCCTTTTGGTTTATGTCATTCACCTGCTTCATTTTCAATGTTGCATGATGGTCATTTTTAAAAAAATATTGAAAAAATCATGGAGGTTTTCATGGATGATTTTTCTATGTTTAAATCTTTTTTTGATAATTGTTTGGGTAACTTGTCTAAAGTTATACAACATTTGAGGAGACTAACTTAGTCTTGAATTGGAAGAAATGTCATTTTATGGTGCAAGAAGGCATCGTGTTAGGCCTCGAGAGGGTGGGGCTAATGGCAAAGTGATTAGTTTTGCTTAGAATGTCATTTTCTTTAAAAACAAGTTCGACCTCAACACCTAGTTCTATAAAATTTGAAAGTGAATAGTGGAATCCATTTTTTATAATTCAATTAAAAAACCCCAAAATAAAAATAAATAAACTAACTAACTATATTAACCTAAAACATAATAAAAACAAATAGATAGCATGCGGAATAACAACAACAACAACAACAACAACAACAATAATAATAATACACCAAAAAAGAAACCTAATTAAAGTAGAATTGAAAAGAAACAATCTAAATTAATAAAGGAACTTCTTTGTTTTGATATTGAAAGCTCTCATCCCTAGCAACGTTACTAAAAACTTAATGCCTTAAAATCTACCATAAGTATATAGGTAGTAACAATGTAGAATAAGATAGGTCGGATATTGTTCCTACAAAAAAGAGATTTAAGTATCAATTAATTAATTTCCTCTATTGTCTAGATAAATCGAGTTGAAGACTGATTACAAATTCTAAACTTAGAATGGCAATTATAAAAAGGTTCTATGACATGGATTTCATCAATTAAACTCTACAATGAATTCAAAACAAAGATTGAATGAATAATCTTGTTAATTGCAATGATCGATTTCCCTAACATACGTGATGATCTATTTCAAGCTTTAATAATAATACTTATATTAATCCTATATCTACTTTCATGATTGTAGATTTTAATACAAGTTCATTACACTCAATATAAATTATCAATTAGATCGCAGTGATGCATTTGTATATCTAAACAACACTATTAAGGTTTGATGATTTTACAAACTAATATTAAATTTTCCTTTTTGCTCTATTGTTCAATACCTTAAACATACAAATAATGGCCAATTACTTACCGAATAAAAAACAAAACACCAAATTGTATTAATAAAATTCATTCATACAATTACATTCAAATCATCATAAGAAATCTAATGACTAAATCTTTATCCTAGAATAATTAAATTAACAATACATGGAAAACCAAATACTCAAATAGAAAAAAAAAAAACAAATTAGAATTCATATTAACAATATTATGAAATTAAATTAAGAAAGAGTAAGAGTAAGAGATAAAAAAATCTTAGCAAGGCGAAATTTTTGGGTATTAAAACTCCTTCTTCTTCTTCCTTTTTGCTCTTTGATTCCTCCTCTTCTCTTCTCTTTTCTTTTTCTTTAGTTTTTATTTTCTTAGATTTGTTTGCCAACTTTTAGCCTACTTTAAGATGTCAAAATTGCCTACTTATACTTTTTTTTATTTTTTTATGAAAGTTATAACTTGATGTGTAGATGAATTTAGGCATTTCAATCCTTTGATTTGGAAGACACTAGACACTCAATTTATGGGCTAAAAAATAACAAGAAGCCTTAAATATTAAGAAAAAGCAAAAAGAAACCTAAAATACTTAAATAATTTAACTAAAAATATAGAAAACATCCTAAAACAAGACAATTTATAACCAAGAATGTGTGGAATAAATTCACATATCATCAGTTAACCTTTTTAAGAAAATATGTTTTTGGGTAATTGTTATTTTCTCAAGAAACATAATCAACTCATTACCCATAATATTTATAAAATCAGTAATTTAGATTTCCCGGTGTCCTTAAAATATTAAGAGAGAACTCCTCATCTTTTAGCTCTTTTTAATGAAAAAGTCCCATATATCGGATAACAACATATATTATTCTTAAATCTGTCTAGAAAACTATTCAAAATATCACAATCATCCATAATAGAAGCCAACATACTTGTAGATGATAATTCCATCCAAATATCATGTTAAAGCTAAAAAAAATAATAAACAAGTATTCCTCTTCCTTGTTAGGTTCGTGACATATTTAACAAATTACATATAAAAAAATAACTTATTAATGTTAAAAAATAGATTGATTGAGATGGGATATGTAGAAAAGGTGGTTGGTTTAGCAATTCTAGTTAGACTTGCTAGGTTTGATGATTAGATTAGTTAAACTTAATATAATAATGGAATCAATGTGCAAAACGGACCTAGGTGTCTCCCACTCAGGAGAGATACTCTAATGTTTAAGTCAATAAAGAGTATAATAAAAGAGTGAATAGACTATTTGAGTATAGAGAAGGAACTTATTATTTTAAATACGAAAATTCATCACCTTTATATAGTACAAAAGTCGTTACTAGATCATAAGTACAAAAGTTTCAATTTATTTTTTTATTATAATAACCTTTTTTTTTTTTTTTTTACACCTAAGATGATGTATTGGTCTTAACAAAGCTTAATATTGTCAAACTTTTTGTTTGAGAAACATGTTGTCTAATGACACCATCTTTTTTTTCTTTTACCACTTAAACCGATGTCCCAAAAATCTTTCTCTCGTGTGGTAGTGTTCAACTCGTATCTTTTGGGAGCTATGGCTAGTGAGAAACAAAACGAGTGTTTGAGGAAGACAATATAAATGCCATTGCAATTAAACATCGGTTGGTTAAATGGCTAAAGGAACTAACCGCCTTATTTCTACCAAAACGTAAAACTTCCTTCCACAATGGCCTATATCTTAGGGCGTTGGGTGTACGAGTACAAGACACAATCCCAATCGGAGGTAGATGGATTAAATGGCAGCTACCCCTTCTAGGTAAATTGAAGTTAAGCACTAATGGTGCTTCGAGTGATAATCTCATAGTGGTGGTGGCATCCTTCGTGATGAGAGGGGAAAGTTGATAATGGCTTTCTTCAAATTCTTTGGTCTTGGTACAAATTCCAAATGAGAGGCCCTAGCCTTTTTAGAAGGAATCAAGATATGTAAGATGTATAATTTATGTTTTAACATCATAGAGGGTGATTCGTCATCGATCCTATGAGATTTATTTCGTTATTCTACATATCCTTGGCACCTCACATGCATTTTCAAAGCATGCTAGGTATACATTACTAATGAAATTATCATTCAACATGCTAATCAAGAAGGAAATAAGACAACGGATAGGCTACAGATTGGACCTTTTAACACAAGTCTTACAAGGTTTTATTCCTGGCTAATGACTTACATACTTCTTGTCACACAATACTCTCAAATGACAGAGTTAGGTTTGTACAACTATCGTCTTGGTTTTAACTAATTCCATTTATTGGTAGTTGGGTTGGATATCTTCATAGATGCTTAATGATTAGCTAACACTTCTTAGGTTTTCAAAAAACTTTTTTGTAACTACAATCTTAAGGATTAAGCTTCCTAGTCTTTCTAGTTTGTTGGACTAGGTTGGATTTATCCTCCTTTATAATTTTCATATTTTTTGCAATATATTAGTCAGAGTATCGTCTATGTTTCATAAAAAAAAATAAAAAAATAGAATTGGCTTTTAGGATCAAGTTTTTAGGAACGCTCATTAGGATAAAGTTTTTAATTAAATAATTTGATTTTAACTTGAAATGGTATCCGTACTAAGTTGTAATTAACTTGGTTTTAGACAAGATTTTTAACCGAGTAAAAGGCTCGATTTTTAACTCAATCTAATGCTATGAATACCATTCACACCGAGTTTTGTATTTGATTTTATTTTAGATCATTTTTTTTAACCAAGTAAGAAGCTTGAGTTTTAACTTGATGTAGGACAATGAATACCATTCATACAAAGTTTTCTAGTTTACTTGATTTTAGATGTAAATTTTAACCAGGTAGGACGCTCGGTTTTTCGGTTTTTAGCTAGAACCGTTCTGATGGTAAACATTCATGCCAACTTTCTATGTCTGAGTCAAAGTTCTTAACTTTGTTTGCCTTAGCTGAGTAGAAGTACTAGTAACTAAACTTATTTATTAGGTGCTACTTGGTTTGATGCTTACCTAGACCGTTGCCCAGATATTTGTCTGACTTCCATGTATTAGGTGTGTGATCGAGCAGTTGCCTAATTATTAAGTCCCTACCAATCAGGCAATCACTAATCCTAATGAAAGACAGAGTGGCAAAACGAGGTTCTTACAAAGGCCAGGCCACACAACGCAAAAGTTGAAGTTGTCACTCACACTCATTCCACTCTATTTCTTTATCGGGTTCTCTTTCTTTCCTTCTTTAAACCCCGCGAAAATCTCCACTGCTGAAAAAACTCTCTTCTCTTTATCAAAATAAATTCGAGGGGCTCCGATAATGAAGCAAAGAACCGAAAAGCTTTACTCTGCCAAGCAAATAACCTCCGTACTCATCGCCTTCATTTTTCTTCTGGCCTTGCTTTGTTTGTACTATGGATCTTCTTTTGCTCCTCCTGCTCTCTCCAGATCCGACGGAGAATATGACGGTTCGGATCCTGTTCTCGGCGGGAATATCCGTGATTTTGATGATTTGTTTGAGGACCAAGAGCATAACCCAGAAGTCCCCAAAAGCATTCCTGTACGTTTTCCTTTTAATTACCAACAAATTTCTGCTGATTTTGTGTTTACGCACTGTTTTGTTAGTCTAAATTTGTGGCTTCTTTTTTTTTTTTTTAGTATTTTGTTAGTGTTTAATTGTTTCAAAAATATCCATTTTCTTGGTAATTTTATTTTTCAAGTATGTGGAAGCAATGATTTTAAACTCAACTTATTTGTCGTTATTGTTTTTTTTCCCTTTTTTTTTGTGTTTTTGGTTGGCTGTTACAGATCTGTGACTTAAAATACTCAGAGTTGATACCATGTTTGGATAGAAACCTTATCTACCAATTGAAATTGAAGCCAAATTTGACTTTAATGGAGCATTATGAAAGGCACTGTCCCCCTCCAGAGCGCCGTTTTAATTGTCTTATTCCACCTCCTATTGGTTACAAGGTTAGTGAGTGTTCTTGCTGGTGTATGAGTTTGTTTAATTTTTGGTTTCCAGTTAGTTTTGATTCCGACGAAATCAATCAATTTTTAGAATTCCAGATCCCTATAAGGTGGCCGGAGAGTAGAGATGAGGTTTGGAAAGCAAATATACCTCATACACATCTCGCGCAAGAGAAGTCGGACCAGAATTGGATGGTAGTGAATGGGGAGAAGATAAATTTTCCTGGTGGAGGAACCCATTTCCATGCTGGAGCTGATAAGTACATTGTCTCTCTTGCTAGGGTAATACAATATCTTGGATCTTCTGTTTTTGTTTGCTTAAATATGTAAAGCGAGTCTAATCAAGCTTGTGTTTGTTTTTTGCTGGTACAGATGCTTAAATTTTCTAATGATAAACTTCACAATGGTGGGCATATCCGGAATGTTCTTGACGTTGGTTGTGGAGTTGCCAGTTTTGGAGCTTATCTTCTTTCCCACAGCATTATAGCTATGTCCATTGCACCTAATGATGTACATGAGAATCAAATACAATTTGCGCTGGAGAGAGGGATTCCATCAACTCTTGGTGTCTTGGGAACTAAAAGGCTTCCTTATCCAAGTAGATCATTCGAACTAGCTCACTGCTCTCGATGCCGTATTGATTGGCTTCAGAGAGATGGAATTCTCTTGTTAGAACTTGACAGATTACTAAGACCTGGAGGGTATTTTGCTTTCTCTTCTCCCGAAGCCTATGCACATGATCCAGAAAATCGAAGGATCTGGAATTCAATGCATGACCTTTTAAGAAGAATGTGTTGGAGGGTTGCTGCCAAGAAAGATCAGACTGTTATTTGGCAAAAACCTTTGGGTAATGGCTGTTACTTGAAGAGGGATCCTGGGACGCAGCCCCCTCTATGCAGCACTGTTGATGACCCAGATGCAACGTGGAATGTGTACATGAAGGCATGCATAAACCCCTACTCAGCAAGTAAGTATCAACAGCGTGTACATTTACAGAGCAAAAGTCACTGGTTTGTGTTTTTGCTGATATTCTCATCCGTGTTATTGGTGGAATTGCTTTATCTTTGTTTGGATTCCAGGAGTTCAGAGCAACATATACGCTCTCACGAATTCTTACAACATTTTAATGTTTCATTTTTGTGCAGTAAATTTGCTTTCCTAAGATAAAATTAGTCTACCATCTTTGAAAATTTGAAACTTAGCATCAAGACTTTGTTTATATGGCATTTTAAAATTGGGATGCACAACCCAACACCACCTTCTCAACCCACACACACGCACATGCAGTGGAAGAGGCCTGGAAATCATGTACCCTTAAACCCTAACAATAGGCAACAATAATTCCTTGATATATGAGATTCAAAGATATAATAATAATGATAAGAATGTCATGGCCGAATGCCCCACGTCATTCAATTTTCCGTTTTCCTTATTTTTTTTTATTCACACTTTCCTTTCCTTTACTTGATTAATCTCCTTTTTTTAAAAAAAATTATATCTCCATTTCCTTTTTCCCATTTTGTGTGTTTTAGTTTTTATATTTTCCTGGTAGCTAAAAATAAATGATAGTCTAAATTGTATTCGTTAATTTAGAGTATCAATATATAACACAAACCATTTCCCATTCTAAAATTTCTTTTAGTTTATTTATTGTTTGGGTTAATAAATGAACATTACATACTTTATTTGGTATTCTAATGTCTATAAATTTTTTATAAAGCTTTCACTCCCCTTAACAAAACAGATGATCTCCCCCGCTGCCTCACATGCACACACACAAGTAAATGAATGAAAGGTTAAGCAACTATTCTATTTTGAACTGGGGATTTGGTGTACCCTGTGTGCGAGTGCATCCATGGTATGCATGCTAGTGAAGAGAAATAGGGTGCATCATTTACAATTGTTCTTTTTATTGTTGAAGTGTAGCAAGAAAAGAAATGATTGTGGCAAACTGTTATGTTGTAAGATTCAGAGAAGGTGGAGAATTGCATCTGTTGGTGGAAATGATTTTGGGGCAGGACTCATCTGACGGATCCTGCCCCCATTTTGAAGGAGCCATTCCCTGTTCCTTGCTGCTTTGCTTCTTTACATGACGTCATCTACTTAGTTTTATAATTAATTTTTCTGGAACAAGAATTCCTGGTAATCATTCCTTGAAATTGATTCAAACGCTGATACTCTATAACTGGGAGCAATTGCACATTGATAAAACAAAAAATCAAGTTATATATGGATGAGATGGGGCTTAGTGGGTCATGTGATCTAATATAACCATATAAAGAACAAAGAGTCAATATACTTGAGTGAGTTGAAGTATGCATGCATGTTGAGAACAGACTCTTTGGTTTGACCTAATAACTGAAAAATCACTATGAAAATGCTGTTTGTTGTTTTCTTCTTCAAATGACCTTGTTAAGAGTCTAATTTCCTTATTGTTTTAAGTCTTTTTGACATGCAATTTAATTATTTTTTTCCAGTTTCCTAAACTTGCTATTTATTACCAGAGATGCACAAGGAAAGAGGAAGCGGACTAGTTCCATGGCCTCAGAGGCTTACTGCAGCACCCCCTCGGTTGGAAGAAATTGGTGTCACTCCAGAACAATTCCGTAAAGACACTGTAGGTTTTTCAAACTTATGGCATTGCAGAAAAATGAAACATAGTGCTCCCCCTTTCTATCTATCTATTTTTTTTTTCTTCCACTTATTATGATACCTTTCAGTAACTGCTGTTCACGTGGTGTGAGTGAAGAATTACTGGAAGCATTGCAGAAAAATGAAACATAGTGCTCCCCCTTTCTAACATTTGGCATTTTAGAGTGAATGAGTACTGGAAGCAGATGAAATCCGTCGTACGGAAGAATTACTTCAGAAATGTCATGGATATGAACTCAAAACTTGGGGGTTTTGGTGCTGCCCTCAAAGATACAGATGTCTGGGTGATGAACGTTGCTCCAGTCAACATGTCTGCTAGATTGAAGGTCATTTATGATCGCGGCTTAATTGGAACAGTTCATGATTGGTATGCATTTAACCAACCTTATATGTATCTCTTGAGTCTGTTTAGACAATTTTTACTGATTTAGGATTTCTGGATTCTCTATGCTGGACTGATGGTTGCTGTATGTCTACAGACTAGAGTGTATTTTCATTTCATGTATCATAGATAAAATCTCACTGGCTCTGTCTGAAGAAACTTGATCTATTGACAATGAATTGACTCATAAATAAAAGTATCCATGTAATGCACGTATTATGGTGAAGTGCAAAATGTTGGGTTCTAGCACAAGCTGCAAAAAGGTGAAGAATTTGAACTTTGTGTTTCACTTTTGGATTGATTTTATGCAAAAACTCTGATCTCCTGTCTGGCTAATGGGATGAATTTTAATGGAACATAGCATAACTGAGACTCTCACTCTTAAATTTCTCCATTGTACGTTGTTGTCTCAGTAGCTAAAGTACAAGGACTGCTTTAATTAGGATTTGAAAGGTATTTTGCCATTGATCATCCATATAATGTTAATCCATTATTGCTTTCTGCCAATGAATTTCTCAATGGTGCACTTGAACAAATAAATGGTGTTTATCTACTATGTAGCACTCTCATTTGTGCAACTCTCTTCTTTTTGAGTTTCTAAATGACTTTTACCTAATTTAATTTATAGGTGTGAAGCATTTTCTACATACCCACGTACATACGATCTTCTTCATGCATGGGGAGTATTTTCTGAGATTCAGGAGCATGGATGCAGTTTGGAGGATCTGTTAATTGAAATGGATCGGATCCTAAGGCCAGATGGGTTTGTCATAATAAGAGACAAGCCCTCAATTATAAACTATATCCGGAAATTTGTGACTGCCTTGAGGTGGAATCGTTGGTTATCAGAGGTGGAACCAAGGAATGATGCTCTCTCCATAGGTGAAGAACGAGTTTTGATTGTGAGAAAGAAGTTATGGAGTGAAGGGGTTTCATCAATGTGAACACAAGGATAAGGTATATACTCTTATCAATTCTTTTTCTTGAAGGACATCACTATCAGTTAGGTTGCGGTGTTCATAGTCACATGTTCATTGTTTAACGTGTACTCATTTCTTATGAAGCTTGAATTTCTATACGAACACTTCCATTTTACCGTTTGATTCCCCATATTTCAAAACAATAAGCCTTGAATCCTCGAAACAAGTTGTTTTCACTTACGCTGATTATTTTTTGCAAAGATAACATGGGAATCTTCTCTGCAAATTAGATTTTCTTATCTAACTGAGTAGTACAGAGTTGATGGATTTGTGTTCCTTTGAAGGTATTCAGCTGCAAAGTTCTTAACCACCCATGAAAGTATGGGAAGGCAGGACCTGAGTTCCGTCATCATCTTTAGAGTAAGATTCTCCCTCTGCTGCAAAGAAGCCGAGACTACAGCGAGACAGACGATATTTTGGTAGTCCAAGCACACAGGACACAACACAGCTTTGAAGCAGTTCCACCCTTATTGCATAGAAAGGAGAAACAACAATCTTCCATATATTATTAAAACTAGGAGATGATGTTTTGTATTTATTCAGATGTAGGAATTGTTTAGATTAATGTCACTTCTTCACATCACAGCTAACCTTTGGAACTTCCATTCTTTTCAAATTTTTGGATAAACTCTTTCCCCCATTGATTCCTCTTTTTTTTTTTTTTTTAACCTTCATTGCTTCATTTTGTAATTAATGGCTTTTATCTTTTGATGTTTACGCATGTTGCATAAGAAAATAGTAGCCCCCAAATCACATGATCTCTTTTTTCTTATTTTTGGTTCTTAGATTTAGAAGTAGTTTCCCCAATGCCTAAACACCGAAGGAAAGCGTGGTCGTCACATGCTTTGAATCTAAACGCATCAAATTGATGTACGGCAAATGATTAGGCGGTCCGTTTTCTGGCGCCACACGTGCGTGCATTCCCGCGCGTTTCGTTTCTTTCCCGAAATAACGTTGTAAAAAAAAGGGAAAACGAAGCAAAAACAGAAGTAGCGACCTTCTCTTTCGTTTTCAAGATCTATTACTGTTTTGAACGTAATGTGTATTTTCTTTGCTTTTTTAACCACATTTGGCTAGGAGTGGCTAGGATTGCAACTGAAAAATGGATTCTGAAACCTTATCTGCAGCGACTAAAAACATCAAAAATCACTTGTCAGTCCAATCGAATGGCTCAATATCAGCCCCAGATCCTCCCAAGCAGCCATTTGTAATTGGTATGAATAATGTTCTGCTGCTTGCTGCAACTCTGTTGTATTTCTTTATACATTTTCAATTTCTTGATGCTGAAAATATATGTGTTCAGGTGTTGCTGGAGGGACCGCATCCGGGAAAACAACTGTGTGTAATATGATTATTTCTCAGCTCCATGATCGACGTGTTGTTCTTGTCAATCAAGTAATTTTTTTGTTTATTTTTAACTAGGCCAGTTAATGTTTAAATGATATTTGAGATCAAACAAAATGAGTAACCTGTCTCTTCTCTTTCTAGGATTCATTTTATCACTCCTTAAGTGGTGATACGTTGAAAAGAGTTCATGATTATAACTTTGATCATCCTGGTAAGTATTCTTATCAGATAATCTTTACAGCTTCTTTTTGATTAAGTTATAAGGATTGGTGAAATTTATTAATGCTAGTAAAATTCTGAGGTGTGTTTGCTTTCCAGATGCCTTCCATACAGAACTTCTCCTTTCATGCATGGAGACATTGAAAAATGGACAGGCAGTTGACGTACCAAATTATGATTTCAAGACCCATAAAAGAATCGAACCAGGAAGGAAGGTATTTTCTATTTTGACGTGATTTCTTTAATATCTCTTAAGTAAATGATTTTTTCTCATGATCTTGAGAATGATGATTCAGAACATTGATGTTTTGTTTTCTGCATGGATTAATGACATTGATGAGTGCTATTTTTCCTTCTGGGTTAATGCCTACTTGTTTTGGTTAATCACAGGTTAACCCTTCAGACATCATTATTTTAGAAGGAATTCTAGTTCTTCATGATTCCCGGGTTCGTGATCTAATGAACATGAAGATCTTTGTTGACACAGGTCCTTTACCATTATCTTATTCAAACATTTTGTTGATTTCATTGTCAAGAAAGCAAGAAACTCACAACACTTTTAGATTGGAAAATCCATTGTTTGTGTTGGACCACGTATAAATTGATCTTTGACAAAAGAGAAGAAAGTTGAATTGATTGTATAGTTTTCATGACAAGAGAAAATACATGAAGAATAAGATTAGCAAACAACTAATCAATAAATGATCAATTTCGAACCTGTTCTCACTACGGCCTAGTCATATACTTCTAAAGATATTGCGAAAGAAGTTTTTCCCTTGGAACAGCTTCCATATTCATAGGAAAACTGTGAGCTTGGTTTTCTAAAATTGAAAACGTGCATTCAATCGATCAAATTTCCTCTGACATAAGTGTTGACTTCGTTACTTATGATAAGTAATCTCCAGGCAGAAGTGATTTTCGTTTTATTACAAGGATGAATGCTTCACCCCAACCAGAGAATCCAGTATAATATATCATAAAATTTGCTTTGCCAAGGTTGATATCATAATCTTTTTGTATTTCTTATTTAGAGAAATTCAGTAAAATATTCAGATTTTCTTGGAGTAAACATGGAAGAGAATATGAGGTTATAGTGTAATCTGAAGAAAAATTAGACATATCATGCATATTTTGTGCAAGGATAATCCAGCATTTTATACCATGAGCACTTATTGTATATGATGCATGTTCGTCTGTTTCTTCCGAGAATGCTAACCTACGAATAACCATCACCATAATTTCACAGTGCAGATTCTGACCTGCGGCTTGCACGGAGAATTCAGCGTGATACTGTTGAAAGAGGGAGGAATATCCAGAACGTGCTTGACCAGGTCTGTGAAGTTCCTTGATGGCCTGTTATTTCTGTTACTAGGTTCCATCCAACTTTTGCTACATGAGGTTTCTTGGTCATTCTGAGGGTTGGAACAGATTTTAAATAGTTGTCAAAATGAATATGTGAAGAGCATATCCTGTTTTTGATTCAGTTGCAGCTTGAATGTTGATGTTTGTGTTTCCAGTTGTGCAATTACTATTCCACCAGTTTGAGAAATGTGGTTTTTAGATATTCTTCTTACCAACCAGCTACCTACAATTTGCAGTACGCTCAATCTGTAAAGCCGAGTTTTGAAGAATTTATACTGCCATCAAAAAAGTATGCAGACGTTATAATCCCTCGGGGAGGAGATAACGATGTCGCAATCGACTTGATAGTACAACATATCCGTACAAAGCTAGGCCAACATCATCTGTGTAAAATATATCCAAATGTTTCTGTTATTCACTCAACATTTCAGGTAATACTGTTGCGATATATTTAGTGGAAACTCATCAGTATCCCCTGTTTTTGTAACGAAGTTTTGAATGTATCAAAATTTCTTGATTTGAATTCTTGCATTCTCGAGCCTTAGAGGAAAAGTAGAATTATCTATGGTTCTGCATTTCATCCAGATGCGGGGCATGCACACACTCGTACGTGATGTTAAAACAACGAAGCATGACTTTGTCTTTTATGCCGACCGACTAATACGCTTGGTAGATATCTCTCAACAAGGAGAAATTTCAGAGATAGAACTGAGTTTTTGCATAACAAAACATGATTTGTTTTTGGATTTAATGTCTCAGGTGGTGGAGCATGGTCTAGGTCATCTTCCGTTTACTGAAAAACAGATCACCAGTCCAACAGGTAACTTCGGTTGTATGTATCATTTGCACCAAATTTCTGTCACTCAGGAATATGCACACCACTAAGGGTGAGCATTCGGTTAAACGGTTCGGTTTTGTACGATTCGGTTCGGTTTTTGGTTAACCGAATTAAAAAAATAAAAACCAAAACCGAACCGAAATAAATTCGGTAAATTTGGTTTGTAACCAAATTATTTCGGTTTGGTTTCGAAATATTTCGGTTTTAACCGAAATATTTTACTATAAAAAAATATCATTACGAGAGAGATGTTTTGTATTAGCACTTAGTCTACTAGCCAATAAAGTAACATTTTGTTATCAATTAATCCTTTTTATAAACAATCACAAAGCCGTTAAAGATTTTAACTAAGCTTTAATGAAAACGAGTTCAAGTGTAATAAATTTGCTCATTCAAACACACTCGTATCCTAATTAATCATACTCGTCACTTTTTTTCTTACCTCAACGGTTCTCAAAATTTACTTCCTATCTGCGTGTTTTAGTTTCAACAAGAATGAAGATTGAAAAGTTAGGGATTTAGAAATTAGGAAATTGTTTACTTTTTATTTCGGTTTTCGGTTGAAATCGAAATTTTTTTCTAAAAACCGAACCGAACCGAAATAATTTCGGTTTTTTCGATTCGGTTTTATATTGTATAATTTTATATTTAAAACCAAACCAAATTTCATAATTCGGTTCGTTTTTATTCGGTTTTCGGTTAACCGAACCGTTTGCTCACCCCTACACACCACCCGGCAGCATCCGTGAGTCTAAGATCCCATGTATATGAAAGTTGACATCCATGCATATGGCGTATACTTGTCACCTGTACTTCATGTAAAGCTTTCGATTCCTCTAAATCATTGTAACTTTTAGATCATCACGTGTATTTATTTCAAATGACCATTTCATCCAAAAGCTTAAGTTATTAGATGAGGACCTAAGATATGATTTATATTATTCTTTAACACACCTCCTTAAGTAAAATCCTTTTAAACTTGAAAATTGCACGGACTCACATTATCTTGTACTTAATTAATTAGAAGAGAAAGTAAGAGTTGTATGATTCGAACTTGCGATTGTTTAGTAATCAAAGTTTTGATATCATGTCAAAAGACTATATCATTCAAAAGCTTAAGCAATTAGATGAGGGCCCAAGATATGATTTATATTATTCTCTAATAATTTATGTTTTTTTCTTTTCTGGTTTGCAGGATCTGTATACCCTGGAGTTGTTTTCTGCAAAAGATTGTGTGGGGTATCAGTCATTAGGAGGTACGTGTTTCCTTTCATCCTGCATGTTGTTTATCACATAACCTTTTGCTGTTATGTGTAGCCTAATCTGTTCTGCCTGGGAAGCTTTCAGCAGTTCTGAATCCTAACCAATTCATTTTCTAACAGTGGGGAGAGCATGGAGAATGCTTTAAGAGCATGCTGCAAGGGCATCAAAATCGGTAAAATTCTCATTCACGGAGAGGGCAACAATGGACGGCAGGTTCGTGGCGGCAACTGTACCACATGCCTCGTTCTCTCTTTGTCTCTATAGCATATAACCTTTTTCAAATCACTGCAATGTTGCTGCAGTTAATTTACGAGAAGCTACCGGCAGACATCTCAAGTCGCCATGTTTTATTGCTGGACCCTGTTCTGGCTTCAGGTTTGGAACTCAAACCCTATCGCAGTTCCCCTTATATCAGATTTTTGTCTCACATTCATGCATGATCAGGAAATTCTGCAGTCAAAGCTATTAGCCTGCTTCTCAGTAAGGGTGTCCCAGAGTCTAACATCATCTTCCTTAATCTAATTGCGGTAAGTTGTTCTGATGCTTTTTTTCGTGAGAAAATGCAACTGCATCTTCCCTTGCACTAATCTACTTTTCTATCATATTTCGATATCTTGCAGGCACCTCAAGGAGTACATGTGATTTGCAAGAAATTTCCAAAGCTCCAACTTGTGACATCAGAGATTGATGTAACATTGGATGAGGATTTGCGTGTTATCCCAGGGATGGGAGAGTTTGGGGATCGTTATTTTGGCACAGATAATTAGGCATTAATTGGAAAACGACCCCCAATGAAGCCACCCCTTTTGTCTCACTCCATGTACCTGTTTTTATGAGATCCATTTTGTGACATTTGTTGAGAGCAACTGTTTTGGATGACAAAAGTTGTGTTTCATTGATAGCACCTAAACCTCTTCAAGTTAAGAAAGTTATAAGAATATTATGATAAATGCAACAAGACTGATGCATTAGAGTATTAAAAAGATTTTGTATGTAAATTCCTCTAATACAGTAGTTTAAGAATTGGTATCTACTAAAATTTTCTAATTACAATCCTCAAAAATCTTGAAGCCTGAAAAGAGAGAGCCTTATAGTCTCCTAAGTTCTCAGCTGGCATTAAAAAAAAACCTACAGTTTCTAAGGGAAGAATACTCCACAACTGAAATAATATGACACTTTATTTTCATAATTTGGTATTTACCTCTTTCTCTTCAGAAGGGAAATATTTGATTTTTGTGAAATAAAAACACTACAGTTACTACTATGTTCACTATTGAGAAATTCTAAACCAAATGGCAATCAAACAAAATTTCAAACTAATTTTCATTACTAAACAAAAATAACCAATCGCAAGGAAAAAACTTCCTAGTTATATATGTCAATTTGGAGACATCGAGTTCTCTAGTCCCTAAAATTGAATTCTTTTTTGACATTGCATAAGGGATAACTGACCAAATACTTGGTTTTACAATCTCTCAGCAGTTAGGATACGAGTAATTGGGCCGATCAACTTTTAGGGTTCTTCTTACTCTTCTTCTTCCTAGAAGCAAAGCTGCTGGGTCCCATTTCAATTGACATTCTCTTAGTCCTGCAAAACAGAACGAGAAAGAACTGGTTTCTAAATAAAAGCCAACATGAAGAGGAAAATGAAGTTCCAAGAAAATACAAGAACATAGAGAAAACAAACATACTGCTTAGAGAGCTCTTCTGATTCCTTGCCATTATCTTCAACGGCGTCATCTGCGAAAAATATAATCAAATTAGAAAGCAGCTCTACATAAGTTTGCTAACTCAACATCAAGGCAGAATTAAAACAAAAGTTTTGCAACAATTAAACAAAGCTAATGAAAACCCAGCCGACTTAGTACAGATCCCCATAGCCTCTCAGGAGTCCACTTAATCTAATTGTTTTCACTTGATGCTAAAAACATTTGGAAAAGCAGATAGAATTTCTCCCTATTTAATTCAAGATTATTTGCATTCCCTCAGAAAGAAGAAGTATGCAAGCAATCTTTCTTTCAAAAGAACACGCACAAAGAATAGAAGTGAAAGACATTATCATCCAAGTACACTTTGATGAAGCCACCCTAGCAAGTTGCCAAAGGTTAAGCAAAATAATTTGACAGCTAATGCCATCACTTGAATCCATGCGACCTTGTAATGAATCACTACTGTACTATATGCTGTTTCAGCAACAATATTAAAGCTAGACCGAGTGCGTGCTTAAGCTAAGAACTGTGGTTATACCATCAGAATAACTTGTTATTTTCTAAACCTAGATATGTTCAGCATATTCTGATATTTTACACGAAAAACTGCCCTCAAAGCTTGAATAAACAAGATAGAAAGCAGAATACGTAACACAAAGCAGCAGTGATCTTTTCTTCTTCTGAGTAAAGGTAATCCAAAGAGGCAGCACAAACCTGCTGCATTTTCTTCTTCACTTTCATGCCCGGACTCCGCATCAGAACCCCACCGATCTCCTCCATCATCAAAGTCCCAGCGTTCTCCGGCGGGTGGCATCCAGAAATCAGTTTCTTCCAAATCACTTTCCTTATCAGAAGAATCCCTAGCTTGAGAAATAATTTCCTCAACCTTGTTTTTCTTCTTCTTTTTCTTGGCACCATCTTGGCTCGACTTCAATTCTCCCCGTCCTGTTCCCTCAACTTCCTCCGCCACCATTCCATTGGATTCTAATTTTTCCATTTCCTTTTGCTCTGTTCACAACAATTAATTCTTAACATCTTTAAAAAAGGAAACAAAAAACTAGACTTGTGTAAGAAAAAAACACAACAGATAAACAAACCTAGTTTGTTAAGAAACCTCTTGCCATTGATGTGCTTCCAAATATGTTCCTCGGACTTATTGACAGTATCCCCAGTTAATTTACATGTCAACTTTGAACTAATAAATGTTAAAAAACAAAACAAATGCTATTACATAAATTAACCAAATGGGTCAGTAGGCAAACAAAAACCCAGAAAAGAAAAGAAAAGAAAAAAAGATGTCTGGTCTGGTTAAGGTTTGAAAAGTACCGGGAGAGAGGGTCTTGCTTGAACATGTTGAGAGGGGGTTTCTTGTTGGCTAAAGCAAAGTCTATCAGACCTAAACGACAGCGTTTACTCTGTGAATAGGAGTCTTTGTCTTTGCCTAGCATTTCGTGCCCAGTCTCTACGCACTTGAACCTGCCGTTTTCGAGCTGTGTAAAGCTAGGCGAGCCTAGCAAGTTGCTCCCTTCCTTCTTCTCCATCTTCTTGCTCTCTTCACCCATCGCCGTTCAACTGAAAGATCAAAAAGAAGAGCTGCTGCTTCTCCTTTTGTTGCTTTTAAAAGTGATAGCTGACAGGTCGTTTACTATTTATTGCTTCGAAAAGAAAACCGGCATGTCATATGCATTTTATTGCTAATTAAATTGTTATGAGTTTGGACCCAAACCTACTGTTAGCCCACGTGATTGAATGGCCCAATTCTAATTGATTTTGGACTTTTTAAATGGCAGGCCTAATCCATACCAAATCCAAGACGAGTGTTATGCGGCGTTAGTCTAGTCTCCGATTTTCTTTGCCAAAATTGGATTTCTAAAAGATCAAGAAGTGCATTTAGGATACACATTTGCTTAGCCTTGGAATATATATATATATATTTGGTTTTAAGAATTGGATAATCCTATGATGTCCTGGGTCAAGTTTAAATTTGTTCTCACTAAGCTTGTGCTAGGATAAGCTCCATTTCTTTTTATTGATTTTCAAGATTTTCTTTTCCTCCTCTTTCTCTTTTTTTTTTTTTTTTTTTTTTCCAGATTTTGTTATTTTTCACTCATTTCATGCCTTTTAATTTTTCCTCTTTTTCATTCTCTTTTTTTCTTTTTGTCTCTTATTTTTCTTGGCCTAGTTTTTTTTTTTCGGTTAATGGCTGCAAGGGTTTTTTTTTTTTTTTCATCTTAATCATGTTCCACTATTTATTTTATTTTATTTTAAATTAGTTCCTCTACTCTTTCTTTTGGTCTTAAGCTCCTTCTTCTATTAATTTTTTAGGCAAATAGCGTTAAATCACACCGTTAATTCTATAAAGATTGCAACACGTGTCAATTTATTTTTTCTCTTAATCTCATCCCTCTACTTTTTTAGAATTAAAATAAATAAATTGAAAAAAAGTAAAGATAAAAATATAGTTTTATCTAAAATATCCTTAATGGGTTTCAAAAAATGGTATGGAATATAAATTTTACTAAGATTTTTTGAGAATATAAATAAATTTAGTTATAAATTTTGGATTTTTTTCCATCTCAACAAAGGACTCTAGTAAAAAATCCGAAAAAAATATATACTATTTTCAATTTTGAATCAAATTAAGAAATTTATAAAATCAAAATAAAAAATTATAATAGACTATTTTTAGGTATTATATAATTATAAATACCATTCAAGGGTTTAGAAATTTAACTAAAACTCCCTTCACATTAAAAAAATACTATAAATATTTTATTCTATGCTCAAAATATGCTTATTATCATAAAGATAAATTTAAACACATAACAAAATATTTTGGACAAAAGTTTTTATCTTCACCTTAAAAAAAAAAAAAAAATTTGGATACCATGACCGAATATATATCTTCATATTTTTTTCAACTTCTTTTTCAAAATTCATCTATTTAAATTTATTGGAAAAAAAAAAAACAAGACTAATACAAAGAAGAAAAAAGATTAGAGGGGCGAGATTAAGATGAAAAAGGGGCGGAAATAGAAAGGTAACGGAGGACAAACTTAAGATAAAAAAAATAGAAGGACACGATCAAGATAAAAAAATAATAAAAAAGAGTAAAGAGACCCTTGTAACCATTTAGTTTTTTTCCCCTTATTTTTGTTGCTTGCACTTTTTTTTTCCTTCAAAATTATAATGATATATCATTTAGACTTCAAAATTGCATGAATGATGCTCTTTTGGGAAATTACTAAAAAATGGTAAAGAAAATGGATTATGACAATGTGCTAGTATTATTTAAACACCAATCACCTATCCATTTTAGTTCAATAACTAAATCTAATATGAATAGTTGAATGTGATAAAGAAAAAACGACTTGCTGCTATTTGTCATACTCAATCGTATCAAAGAAGAATGGCCAAAGCATATAACAAAAAAGTGCATCGAATAAGTTTTCAAGAAGGATAACTTGTGTTAACGAAAGTCCCGCAAACGTTGAGGGCAAAGAAGAGTAAATGGGTGTCTAACTATCAAAGTCTATATGCGGCAAAGAAAGCATTCTCAAATGGAGCTCTCATTGTAACAAACATGGATGGTATCAAACTATTGAAGCCGGTGAATTTAGATACCGTAAAGAAATATTACACATGAATTGTAACTCTCTTCATTCAAAAGCAATAAAATATTTATCAAAGTTTTGGCCGATCAACTTTAAGTGTTAGCATTTTCTTTCGCTTCTTTTTTTTTTTTTGTTGCCTCTCATTATCATATATAAAATTTTTTTACTCTTTTTCAAAACTCGTATTTTCTAATATGATTAGTCCCTAAAAGCTCTTTTCTTTTCGTCTTACGTATAATGATGTTTTAATATTATTTATAAAACATGATAAACAATTCAAATATCAAAGAATGACATAATAAGGAGGTTTATGAAATTTGTAGTACGATGGGACTTTCATATTAGAGTTCCCAATGGAAGTGAATTGTGTGACATTATAGACAATTCTAATAAATTCAATAGAAATTTACACTAAATGACAAACTCATGAAAACAAATAGCAAAATTTAAAATTCGAAAAGAAAAGGTTACCACATCACCAAATACCGAACAAGTGATGTCGATATGATCCGATGGCTTACAACAAACAATTGTGACATAATGAGCGAGATAAACCAACTTGGGAAAAAGTAGTAAGCTTTGCACTTCGATTTCAAACAAGAATTATGAAACTAAAGAAAAACAAAAAGTGTGGTTTGAATGGTCGGGACTTATATTTCTAACAACGAAAAAGTATAACTTGCAAGCTAATAATATATTAGATAAACAACCTCTTAGTTCCATGTAGCTATGTTGCATATGGAAGACGAGTCGCTTTAAACAATAAGCCTAAATAATAATATATATTTTTCAGTCTATGCTTTGTCCATTTTCTATTCATTCTTGTGTTCGTCGTCAAACTCCCTATAAAGAGTCAAAATCGATGTGGCAAGTCACGTCCATTCAAATCAGCGTGGCCGATCATGTCCTTTGAATCGACGTGGCCAATCATGTCCTCCAAATCAAGATGGCTATGTTACTATAGGTGCCCAAGATCCAATATGTTTGGATAGTTTGATATATTGTGTTATTGCATATTTAATATTAATAAATAATTATTTCTATCAATTCTTGTTATTTATAATTTGATAGAATTATATAGAACTCCATATGATATGCATTGCACTCATGATTGATCAATAGATGTGAAACACATATCAATACACATAAATGATATCATTAAATATTTTAAATCATAGCATTATCAAGATTGAAAATTGACAATATGTAGTAAAACTTGTGAGTGTTATGCTCTTATTATAAAATAGTAGTAAGAGATCTCACACCTACTAATATGATAATGCCAAAGTAAGCACACGTGTGAATAATGTTAGAGAATATGTCAATGAATATGACTCACCATGAGAACCTATGAACCCATTTTATATTGTCTATGGGAATCTCATATAAGATGGGTACAAGTAGTCTTTTGACTTGAAGTCATCATGATTATCTTATTAAAGGATTGATATACTTTGACATTCATTTCGATAGACTCGATAAAGAGCTGCATGTGAGTGATTCATTGGGTTCATTAGGAATCTAATAGAGATAGATGGATAACTAAGATAGGATATATCATTCCTTATATGCTAAAGGAGTTATTGTGAAACACTTTGATGAATGTCTACTTAAGAATTTATGGTCACAATAGAACTATATCAATAGAGCATAGTTGATTTACTTGAGAGCTAAGACATTTAGAGATCGAAGAAAAATTATATGATCATAATCGAACAAACAATAAATCAAGTTTGAGATCACACTTGTGATAAATTAAGATGAGGACTGAATTATATAAAGATCATTATCATGAAAGATTATTCTAAATTAAGTAATCCTTCCAAATAATTAGGTAGTTATGATGCCTTGCTAGAGGTCAATTTTGATTAATGTATCGAAAGATAAAAGAAGTGTCTTTTACTTCTTGATACATTGCCAATCTATATAAAAGCTTATTGAATCATGTGCATAAGTTTAAACATTCACACGAAAAAAGATAAGAGAAGATTTTGGAAAAAGTTTTCTATTTTGAAAATCGAGTTTCCTATTTCGGAAATTAGTTTCCTAATTTGAAAATTATTCTTTTTAATTTGGAAGTTAGTTACCTAAAATGGAAATCAGTTTCTTATTTTAGAAATTAATTTTCTATAATAAAAATCAATTTTTTAAAATAGAAATTAGTTTCCTAATTTAGGTTTAATAAAATATAAAAGTAATTTAAGAAATTATTTCCTAATGTGGGCCTCCTAAAATACTTAACTCGGATTATTTGGATGGTCCAAATTAATTATTAAGTTATTCAGCCAAAGGAGTTTGTGCCAACATCTTAAGTGAAAGTTTACAAGGGTATTTTAAGTAGAGGGGTGTTGTTAGGGTTTATAAGGATAAGATCAAACAAAACCTACATAAGTTACAACTCCTTAGCGAAAAAGAACAAGCTAATAACTTAGAAAGAAAATTACATCTCTCCCAAAAAAGAAAACACATTACCTTCCTTAGAAGAATTGCACGATCTTTCTTAAGTGATTTCTTGAGAGAAAATTATACTTAGTAAAAAAAATAGAGCTAGCATTCTAGAACTTTTGTCGTTTTTTGTATGGGTGTTTTTAATACATAGATCATTAGTAGAGATTGAATGCTTGGACGGTTTAATCAGTAAATTTAATTCTATGTTACAAGAGGTAAAATCTAATCCATCTTGTTAATATATAATTAGTTGATTCAACAAGTTGTCTTGAAACTTTAGATAGAGGAGAACAAAAATTTTTATTTATTTTACACCTTCATAAAATGTATGATCTTTCGAGCTAGTGACGTCCCCGTGAATCGATATGGCTAGTCACGTCCCTCTAAATTGGCATGGCTTGTCACGTCCTTCCAAATAGGTTTGGCGAGTCACGTCCCTCTAAATCGATATGGTTCGTCATGTCCCTCCAAATTGACATGGCCAATCATATCCCTTTGAATTGGTGTGGCCAATCATGTTTGGTAAGTCGAGTAGTCTGTTTGAATTCAATGATTGTTTTTTTTTCCTATTGTTTGCATCATATGTTTCCATTTCAACTTTTTTTTTCTTTATGAATCCTTCTAAACAAAGTCAAAGAATAGTCTTTTAATGACTTTATAATAAAAGCATTATAAAAAGAGGGCAATCGTTGATACACAATTTACTGCTTCTATTATTTTCTTTTTTATTTATCTTATTTTAATTACAAAAAAATAAAAATATAAAAAATAAATTAAATGGAAAAAAAAGTGTGTCATTAAAAATAGGTGGTTAAAGCAAATTCTATGGGTCCAATTACAAGAAATCAAAAGTTTGAAAACCAAGAGAGATCCGATTGAGTGTAGAATTAAAAGACCCAAAACTTTAAACCTTTAATCAAAATAAAGGGAGGGAACAATTGACGGGAATTTAATAAAAAAATTCATGTTTAATTATAATTTAAGGGTGCCATCGAAGTTCAAACAATCATAATCGTACATAAATTGATGAATTATAAGGAATCGGGAACCAAAATGGACTTTTACCTAAAAGCTATAAAATCCACCTATAAATATCCCTTTCTCTTGCATTTTTAGATACCTTACACTATTCATCATCTTCAAAACAAAAACCATCCAGATCAAAATCTCTACTGTAACCGAACAACACCATCCTCTTCCTCACCTGCCTATCACCCTATCGCTGCCTTCTTCTTTGCCTAACCATCTCCCAACCATTCCTCTCTCTCCTCCATCCATGGCGACCATTCTCTTAAAAAACTCATAAACCCATATCCTCACCAAACCTTCATTATCACTAATTATCAACACCATGACTAGCCTACCACCATTCTTCTCTCTAATCATCGAAACACCAATGCCCAAACCACCTACTCCATCCTCTCTCTTGCTAAAACAACCCCACACCATCCTCTCCTCTACCGACCAAACGACCTCTACACTATCCTCTCCTCTCTTGCTCGAATAGCCCCTTTAAAAACCCTCGAGCAACCTACCATCATTCTCCTCTCCAACCCGATAACCATCACCCATGCAAACTCCTCCCATTCCAATCTAACACCAACAACCTTCTACTACCCGAACCAATATCCTTCACCCATATAAACTCCTCACCATGTCGAACCCACCAATAATAGCCACATTCCTCCCCTCTTCTTCATCTAGTCGAGACCATTATTAGTTGTAACCTCTACCTAAAAATCTCACAACCGGACTCTCCTATTCCAACTTCTAGCTAAGAAACACCTACCAATATAGTTTTAAAAAATATATTATTTTGATTGTTAAGTTTTACAAGAACAACATGATGTTATACATTGCATTTGTGTTTTATTTTTGGAGGGAATAACATAACAACTTCATTATTACCAAGTCTCACTAAGTTGTTGGCAAAATTTTAATAAATTTGGTCGATTATAGTAATTTGTAAATTGCGGTAACTTTGACAAGTTAGAGTAATTTTCACAACATCAATAGCTTTGACAACGACCACTGCTTCTTCTTCCTCGGTTAATTGAATAATTAGTTATCATCGAGGACGAAGAGAGTGAAACTGATCCTAAATTAGACTCTTGAACAAATTCAGAACCTTTCAAAATATCTTGGGTAATTTTTGTATCTCGTAAAAATTAGTTTTAATTAATGGATGAAAATGATAAAAATGCTATGTTATTGATGATTGAATTATTAAATATTTTTCTTGATTATGAATAAGATAATTGTCATGTTTATTGTTATGTGAAATTATTTTACTTAGTTTTTACTTCTCGAAAAAGTGGGCATCGATGACTTCCCGCCTATGTCAAAACCTTTCAAAATATCTTAGGTAATTTTTAGACCTATAAAAATTAGTTTTAATTAATAGATGAAAATGATAAAAATGTTATGTTATTGATGATTGAATTATGAAATATTTTTCTTGTTTATGAATGAGATAATTATCATGTTTACTACTATGTGAAATTATTTTACTTAGTTTCTACTTGTTAGAAAAGTGGCCACCGGTGACTTCCTACCTATGTGGACAAAGCTCGCTACTAGCTCCGAAATCATTTTTCTTCAAAAATTGATCTTAAAAATAAAGTCATTGGTAACTTTATACTTATGTGACAAAGTCGTCAATGATTTCAAAATCATTTTATTTAGTTTTTGATCGTTAGAAAAGTGGCCACCGATGACTTCCCATCTATATGAAAGAAGCCACCAGTAGCCCCGAAAATATTTTTCTTCAAAAATTGATCCTCAAAATAAAGTCATTGATAACTCTTCACTTATGTGACAAAGCCATCGGTGATTTTGAAATCGTTTTACTTAGTTTCGTTCGTTAGAAAAATGCTTATCGGTGACTTCTCACTTATGGGAACGAAACGGCCATTGGCCTCGAAACCATTTTCCTTCAAAAATTAATCTTTGAAATGAAGTCATTTGTAACTTTACATTTATGTGACAAAGCCGCCAATGATTTTAAAATCATTTTACTTAGTTTACGTTCGTTATAAAAATGGCTATCGGTGACTTCTCACTTTTATGGACAAAACCACCGAGTGGCCTCAAAATCATTTTTCTTCAAAAACTAATCTTCTAAATAAAGTCATTGGTAACTTTTCACTTATGTGAAAAAGCCACTAGTGATTTCAAAATCATTTTACTTAGTTTATGTTTATTAGAAAAGTGGTCACCAATGACTTCCCACCTATATGGATGAAACTCGCCAATGTCCCCGAAATCATTTTCCGTAAAACCGATATTTGAAATGAAGTCAATGATAACTTTCCACTTATATGCCAAAGCCGTAAGTGATTTTGAAATCGTTTTACTTAGTTTCTGCTTGTTTGAAATGGAGTCGCCAGTGGCTTTCGAACCAGTTTTATTTAATTTTTTATTACTCAATCGACTTGTGGGTGACTTTCTATTTATGTAGCAAAGCCGTCGGTGATTTTAAAACTATTTTGCTTGCTTTTTGTTCATTCAAAATGAAGCCGTCGGTGGCTTTCCACTTACATGACGAAGTTGCTAGTGGCTTTCAAGTAAATTTGCTTGCTTTTTGTTCATTCAAAATGAAGTTATTAGTGGCTTTCCATTTATGTTGCTAATGGTTTTCAAACTAATTATCTTCACCTTGTTCGAGCAAAATGAAATTATGAGTGACTTTCTACTTATACGATGAAGTTGTCGGTAACTTCTTAAATTCGTGACTTGAAGTCGTCATTGGCTTCCCACATGTATGAGCAAAGTTGTCGGTGACTTTTTGTTCATGCCAATAAAGGCTATCAATTTTTAGAGACTCACCTAGTTATTGATATAGGTCGTGTTCGCTAAAGATTAGCCAAAATTTCAACCCCTCCACCTTTTCCCTCCGAGTATGGGTATCGATCTCGGACCAACTCTGAATCTCGAATTACTCTTCCATTCCATTCCTATAAAATAAATTCAATCAAATAGGCATAGAAGCATAATATAGTAAAACCGCATTTTTGTTTTCACAAGTAACAATATAGCCTACTTCGATTAGATAGGATGATGGTGATGTTATATCTTTCCTATGTATAACCGATCCTTTATTCATATATCTATTCAAATCAGTATGCTTAGGATTTCCTAGTTCTCTCCGATTAGTTAAGAAACGACTCTCGTTTGTATGTGTTTCCCTTACGACCCTTGTCGGCATCAAGCATACCTTTATTGCTACCAAAGTTCTAAGGTTTGGAGGTTTGCAACAGAGAGAAGGAAATGGCCGAAAATAAACTAGAACAACATTTTGTTTATTTATTCATCAGTTTCCTCGATCATTCTCTTGGGTAACAGGATTTATCTATGCTTAAACTAAAGTAGAAGGACTAAAATGATAATTATAAACATTTTCTCGATTTTCTTTCCGTGTTCGGTCCAGTCTAATAACAAATTAGCCCATTTAAAAAAAGGCCCTAGGGTTCCCTTTCCCATATACACATCGCCAGCCACATTCGGTCGGTGCTTATAGGGTTTGCAAGCAGCCTTAGAGACAGAGAGCGGCAAGACCAGCGAAAATGGTGAAGTTCTTGAAGACAAACAAGGCCGTGATAATCCTGCAAGGCAGATACGCAGGTCGCAAAGGAGTGATCGTCAAGTCTTTCGACGATGGTACACGTGACCGCCCATACGGCCACTGTTTGGTTGCAGGGTTAAAGAAGTACCCTAGCAAGGTTATCAAGAGGGATTCAGCCAAAAAGACTGCAAAGAAATCCCGGGTCAAGTGCTTCATCAAGCTAGTGAACTACCAGCACCTGATGCCTACTCGTTACACGCTGGATGTGGACTTGAAAGATGTTGTGACCGCTGATTCTTTGTCAAGCAAGGATAAGAAGGTCACTGCTTGCAAGGAGACGAAGGCTAGGTTGGAGGAGCGGTTTAAGACAGGCAAGAACAGGTGGTTTTTTACAAAGCTGAGGTTTTGATTTAAAAATGTTGTCAATCAGTTGTTGGGCCTCTTCAAGTCTTTTTTATTATGAATTTTTAGTAGTTTTGTTGATTTTGGATCTGGATTTTTGACAAGGAAAACACATTGCCTTGCTTATTGTCAATTCAATTTTTAAGCTTCATTTGCGATTTGCAATGCTGTTCTTGTATGCTCTGGTATTCTATTTCAGTGTTTCTGGGCCTTTATGCATTAGAATAAAATTTGTAAAATTTAGGATGTTACACTTTGTTGTTAAAATAAGCAAATTAGTTTGTTTTACGGTGCTTGTTTGTTTCTCTTAGATTAGCATCTACTGTTTGTAGAATTAGTCATAGTCTGCATTTTTGAATTAATAATTTCTTTTAATTGATCTCACGAAATTGTTGGTCCAAACGTTTGTATTCTAGAATTATTTTAGCAGATGGAGGAGAAAATTCAAATATAAAATCTCCTTTCCTATACACACAATGAAAAATCTTGTCATTTTGAAGAATGTGACTGAGCAAAATAGATTTGAGGGGCAATCTGAGATAAGTAGTCCATGCTGACCTTTAGGTTTCTATAGGACAGAAGTAGCAAACTTTGTATCCATTTCAGACTGAGTGCCCACACTTCTAGGAAAGAACTACTCAGATTTGATTTTTTCAGGCCACCCAAGTTGATAGCTGTGCAAGACCCAATGTGAGAAGGGAGAGGAGGTTATTTGGTTATAGAGGAAGGGAGGGGATCTCCCGTCTCATGCTTTAGTGTTGGCATTTTTCAGTCATGGCAATTTTACCTTTTTACTCTTCTTTCCGTAGGATGGTTGTCTAATCTGGCATCTGACATAGTAAGTTAATGTAATCTATACTTGATTTCAATGCATTTGGTCCCAAGATATAACCCCAAGATGTAATTGCAGGGTAAGTTAACTGTTACCCTGCAATTCCATTTTTCCTTCTGTTCCATGTGTATTTTATGACAGAAGTCAAAACTTTAGGAGTCGGCTGCTAATCAGAATTTCATTTTCTCACTAGTCCCTCATTTTATTTGGCTGTCCTAGCGAAGCTTGATGTGCCTTTTGTTTTTGCCTTTTTTTTTTTTTTTTTGGAAGGAAAATTATTTCATTTTTGTATGATTTTAGTTTATTTTTTTAATTATAAATTTATCTTGATTTGCAGAATTAATGGTTTTGTTATTTTTTATTTGATCTACCATGTTTGTAGTATTTTGGATTGAAAGAACGACAACATAGTTCTCACCTAGTAACTTTCCTTGCATAGAGCAGGAATTGGCAATAGAGTCTGCAGTAATCTACTTGCGTTTTATATTGAAGCTTGACAATGTTGTCTCAGGAACATGAGGAAGTCCTCATCTGGCATTATTATGTTTGTGTTTTGAATTAAATGGGGAATTTAACCTAGAGAAGCTCATGGGCAACTATAGAGCGACCATTGGCTGTTGGTATACATTGTAAACTTAATTTGTCTGGTTTTCTTTCATGCAGAGATTACCTCCTCCTTTTATCTTATCATATGCTTTCATGTACTGGGAAAGCTTGTATCCTTTCAAGTGCTTCCTCGGATGAAATCTAGAGAAGATTAGTCTCTCCTTTTTGGCTTGCTATTGCTTTCGATTTTAGCTCCTGTTTATAGAAAACTTGTATCTTTCAAAGTGTGTCTGGGGGAGTTTCTTTGGATGAAAATTGGATTGGATTTTACTAATATTTTATTTCGGTGTAGCTGGATGCCCAACAAGTCCTTCCTCATATGCCGGGAGGTTTTTTAACATCCTTACTCGAACCTCCCATGATCTGAATAATGAGATTTTCTATTTACAATAAATAGGTATTGTTATGCCTTGTCGAAATTAAATTTGTATGATTTGTTAACGTAGGATAAAGGAAATGCCGTCTTTAACGGCCAGACGAGGACTTTAGCCGCCACTAATTTCGCGAATACCAAAAAAGAAGCCGTTTTCCTAGCTCTTAGTCCCAGATGGACCATGCGTGCATGCGTTACAGGTTACAGAAGCTAGTAGGCTACCTATTTTCATGTGTTTGTCTCTGCTTTGCTTGCACCCACAAACAAAGAGAAAATCACAAGCCACGTGGTCTGCTTTCGCAAACTACAAAATAGCCTTCCACGACTTCAACTTTTGAATATACTTTTTATGATGATAATCACGTGATTATGGTTATGATTATGATGATTAGCCCTATCAGTTTTGACCATGAATCACCCAGACTGTAGTAGCCAAGCAGGTCTCGACTCTATGCGTCTTTCTAGTAGAAGGCTCTCTTGTGTCACTCCTAACGTAATTACAATGTTGAACGTTAAATTCTTCACATTTATTAAAAAAAAAAACAAAAACTTAATTATACATATATTTTTATGATTTGAATATTAGATTTTCAAATTTTTTATATAAATTTTTCTTTTCATATAATACACATGCTTTTATATCATTAAATACTGAAATATTTTTAAAATATGACAATTAATTGTTGGTTTTGTTATAAAAATATAATTGGATTGGATTTTTTTCCCCAAAACTACTATATGATGCATTTTTAACTATAAGGGTGTGAGAAAATGAAATTGATTACTGTTAACTGATCTAAATAACTTTTATTTTTATTTTTCAAGATTGATAAAATTATTAATCATCATGCACTATCAGCATATTTTATTTATTATTTTTTAAAATTCTATTTAAATAATTTTTTATAATATATATATATATATCAACTTCTACTGCACTTGGGATATAGTGCTTGCCAATACAAACGGGAGGCAGTGATGATGGATTACAGAAGCAATAAAGCAGGTGTCATTCGAGGAAAACAGTAGTAAAACATGCCAGTAAGGATAAGACATAGAAAGCACATGACTGTGGTGGTCAGTATTTATTGCTACCTTTTTTTTTCTTTCCAAATTTAAGGAGAGAGAAAAGCAGATACACTTTTGTCCTGACGCAAACCTCCAATGCTACTGGTTGGGTCTCTCTTTAAAACACTCCTAAAAAACACTAAGAAGTTCCCAGAGGCAGAGTGAGCATAGAGACAAAGACAATGGGTTTTTGGAGACCAGCTGTGGCAACTTGGTTTCTTATGGTTTGGTGGTTTTTGAGTATAGCAGTTTCTGATCCCTTGCCACCATGTGAATTTCCTGCTATTTACAACTTCGGTGACTCAAATTCAGACACCGGTGGTATATCGGCCGCGTTTGAGCCAATCTCAGCACCATATGGTGAGGGTTTCTTTCACAAACCAGCCGGTAGAGATTCCGATGGCCGCCTGATTATTGACTTTATAGGTAAAAAGAACAAAACATCCCTGCATTCATCGTCATACATTTTAGTTTGCCTTTCTAATTCTTGTGCTAATTGTCTGAACGATTTATGGATGCAGCTGAGCGCTTGAAATTACCGTACTTGAGTGCATACCTGAATTCAATTGGAACAAATTATAGGCATGGTGCAAATTTTGCTACCGGAGGATCAACCATCAGGAGGCAGAACGAGACCATATTTGAGTATGGGATTAGTCCATTTGCTCTTGACATGCAGATTAAGCAATTTGATCAGTTCAAAGCTAGGACTGCTGATCTCTACAATCAAGGTTACAAATCTCAATCAAAGCTGCCTCTCTTAGAGTTATCATTTCATTGTTATTGAATTCTTTTTCTTCATGATGTTTGTTCAGTGAGAAGTACCCCAGAGGCAGAAAAACTACCGAGAGCTGAGGAGTTCTCAAAGGCCCTTTACACGTTTGATATAGGCCAAAACGATCTTTCTGTTGGTTTCAGAAAGATGAGCTTCGATCAACTTCGCGCAGCAATGCCAGATATCATTAACCAGTTGGCCTCAGCAGTCAAAGTAAGTAATGCTGCCTGCAAATGTTGCATACACCAACATGTTTTTGCACGTTGCAACTCCGATTGACCACATATATACATGTGTGGATGTTTTGTAGCATTTGCATGAACAAGGAGGGAGGGCGTTTTGGATACACAACACAGGCCCGATTGGGTGCTTGCCTGTGAATCTATTCTACGTATCAAACCCAGCACCTGGTTATCTTGATGAGCATGGTTGTGTCAAGGCTCAGAATGAAATGGCTGTTGAGTTTAACGGCAAGCTAAAGGAGAGAGTTATCAAGCTAAGAGCAGAGCTCCCAGAAGCAGCAATAACATACGTGGATGTCTACTCTGCTAAACAAGGACTTATAAGCAATGCAAAGAATCTAGGTAGTGCTCATTATTTCCTAACTAAGTCAGCCTCAGTTCATCAAGCAAACTTCCTGTCTAAGGTTAACCATTAACATTTTACATACTTCAATTTGCAGGATTTGCTGATCCTCTGAAGGTCTGCTGTGGGTATCATGTGAATTTTGACCATATATGGTGTGGAAACAAAGGAAAGGTTAACAATACTGTCGTCTATGGTGCCTCTTGTAAAGATCCATCGGTCTTCATAAGCTGGGACGGTGTTCACTATTCTCAGGCTGCAAATCAATGGGTTGCTGATCATACACAGAATGGTTCTTTGACAGACCCAGCAATTCCTCTTATTCAAGCATGTCGCAAGAAGTGAGCAGAGCAAGCAATAGTCAAAACAGGGGGTTTCAGTGTTGAAAGTGCCATTACTAGAATAGCTTCTTGTCACAAGGTGCAAGCATAAGGTTGCAACTTGCATGTCGTTGTTAGAAAAGTTGATAATGACCTAGTGAGCTCATATCTTCAACTAGAGAAAACAAATGAACGAACGACAATAAATGATCTTCAATTATTATGGATTACACTTGACACTCTTTAGTGAATGCTTGGTGGTGATGTTTTAAGCTTCTTTATGTTTAGTTACTTTTTTATGTTTGACAATACAGGATTTTAGTGCTTGTAATCCTTTCATTTCAAATCTTGACTCTTACTCGGTTGCCCAGTAAGCGAAGCCAGCCTTCCAATTCCCATTGTATTTATGCAGGGAAAACAAAAAACAATTCGAATCCATCCACAATAAACATTGTCTCACGGCAAGTTTGGCTTCACCAACCCTAGATTAGACCAGATTCTGAACTGCATTTAACCATAGACACACTGGCGCTAAATCTTTACTCTCACTTTTAAAATTCATGGACCACTCTTGGGTTCCCTAAAATCTAATGTTCTGTTGCAACAATCACAAATTGAATATTCCAAAGCTTATTATGACATTGTAAATGTAGGCTTCTGCCGTGGAAATGGTAAGAGTTAAGAGATACTTAGACGACCAAAAAGAGAGGTACGAGGAAAAGCCACTTCACTACACAACCAAACAAATACATATGGCATGTCTCTTTTCAAGGCATTGCCCCTTTCATTCAAAGAAAGAACCGTGGTAAGAGGATGCAGGATGCGTGGTCTGTTTTACACTGCTACACATGAGCTTTATTTATACACAACTACGAAAACAAGGGCTCATTGACGATGCCCTTCTGGTAAGGCAACCACCTTATGGAAGGGAACCATCCTCTTAGGCAAGGCTCCGTCTTCTTCGTCGTCATCAAATTCCAGCAAATAACTGTCCAACCAAAACAATAGCAAGTTATAAGAGCATGATAAAAATAACATAAATAAGAACTTAAAGCCAAAAGTCCCCTACAATGTTCATCTGATTCAAGCATTAGCATTTGAAAACACATGCATGATAAATCATGTTTCTGTACTTCCAAAGGCGAACCATTTACAATCTGCAAGTTTTGTTTCTCAAATATGTCAAGAGAGACTACCTAATTATCCCACCTTTTTTATCATATATTACCATCTTGGAGATTGTTTGGATAAAAAAATATTAAGAGAATCTTTGGAATAATCATTGCCACTGCACAAATAACCATATGTCCATCTATCCACCCAAAAAAAAAGAAAAAAGAAAAAAAAGAAAAAAGAAAAAAGAACAAAGAAGAATGAAAGAAGAAGAAAAAGTAAAAGGAAAGCAGGGAGAATGACATTGAGTATTGCAATCATTTTAGTTTAACATGATCTAAATACGAGAACAATAATGGACAATTTCCAAAATCAGCAAACTAGGGATAAAGCATAAGAAAGATGTTACTTACTCATCTGTCTTCCTCTGAAAAACACAGAATGGTATGTTGATGGCACCACATGGCATGCACAATACAATTAATTGTCAGTCCAAAGCCAGAGTCCCCATGCATATTCAAAATCAGGAAACAAAACTACCAAAGAACAAGATTCCTTAGGCAAATTGCAGTGACTATAGTTTGGATTCAAATCTATCTAACTAGGTGGATGGAACAGTTACCTTCCGAGGGGAGCTCGCAACTGTTGCCTTATAAAGTGCTGTCGTTCCTGGATAAACAGCCAATACATTTCTCCCAGGAGGGAAATCTGGGACACTAGAAGGATCATTTCGCTTGGGGAAAGGTATAATACACGACATGGGCAACTTGTACTTTCTGAAGCAACAGTATATATATATATATAACCCCATTCATGTTAGTAAACCAGCATGCTAGGTTAAGGCATTTATATAACAAATAAGAGGATACTAATATAAAATCTCAGGGAAAGAAGATGTGGGGATGTATAAAAGGACGAAACCAACCTTTGGCCACTACCCTCTTCGTCATCTCCTGGCTCCTCATCGAGTACTTCAAATCTGCACATACAGTTACCACTTTGAGTAACAAAAGATTCCGAATTAAAATAAACAGGCCGGAGGAGGGGTATTCTCTTTTAATATTATGTCCAGTTAGCATTTATTTGACAGCAGGAAAACATGAATAATAAATTTAACCTAGGATAAAAATGATTTAGCATCACAATAACTTGGGAAACGTTTGGCCCAAAATAGAACAAAATGGAGAAAAAAATACATGTAACTGATTCCAACTATTTTAGAACTGGACTTGGCAATAGGAACAAACCAAACAGTTTACAGGCTGTTCACATTCAACTAAAAGTTGTGCTCATGGTACTAATCTATATGATGAACGAACGTGTTGATCTAAAGTATAGCAATTCATTCTTGACTTGGGCTTGTAAATGGCAAGGCTAGGAAGCATGGATAGGGATACCGGAAGAGGGTAAGACAGTATATGAATACATGGTATGTTAATTCTTGAAATTTGAGGATTTGATACGTTATGGAAGCATTATACATATTCCTATCTACTCTATTATTTTTTAAAAGATGTAAGTTATAGCTATTCAAAATAAAAGAAGGAAATTAAAAAATAACAAAACTACATATTAGTTTGAATCATACCTATAGCAAGAATGTAAAGTCATATTTATATTTTCTTTAAACAATATTCACCAACTATTATCAATATGTAAGCTTTGATTGATATTATGAAATTAAAATAAGTAAACTACTTAAAATATTTTTTTATGTGTTGAGCAAAACTAATCATGTACTAGTGAAGTGTCCTAAGGTTTGGGACATGTCTATATAAAAGCATTTTTTAGTATCCTCAAGTATCCAAAATAATATTCTATGACTTATTAATGTTTTATATGTTTGAGAAACATTCAATACACATGGTGAAGTATTGGGTCAAGTATGGGGTCAAGTATGGTATTGGATAAGACGTGATATGAATAAATGAGGGATTTGAAGTATCTGCGTTTCATAGTGGTTGGAGTATTTGTGCAATCAAAATATAGTCTGTATAGATGACTCTCGGAATCAGCAACCAAAATAGCTCTGAAATTAGGGGCAGAAACATAGCCACCACATTCTTATGTAGCTAGCCTCAAACAAATATCTATGCCTTTCCATCTATCAAATTACCATGAAAAATGAATTAATAATATGGCGTCACGAAATCGTAACAATCAAAGAAGCACATCATAAGAAAAATCCAATGATTAGGTAACGTAAATAATTGAAGAATCTCATGTACAACAGATCAACTTACTCTTTTGTTTCCCTGTCAAAATGAATCACTTTTACAACAAACCACTCATCCTTTTCAGCATTATCACCTGTGACCCTAGCTGCCACCTGAATATAGCAAACACGTCAATCACTTCGGCACAACAGAAAGAAATGGAATCTACTCCTCAAAAAAAAAAAAAAAAAAAAAAAGGGGGATATAGGTGTTGTGTTCTTTGAAAAGACATGCATACCTGTTCACCCTTTAGACTAGCACAAGCTTCAAGCTGACTTCTTAATGCAGAAGAAAGCCTTGAGATATCTGAATCAGCTTTCATCCTTTTCCTTTTCTGATCATTACCTTCTGCAATTTTTTTAACATCTTCTCATTATATAGAGTTTCTCAAACAGCAATAGTAGCATTGAACTGAAATCATGATAGAGAAACTGAAATTCATTGTCCTTGGCATAAAGTTCATCCATCCATGTTTGCGATGCTTAAATGCTACCTTGTGTTTAACACTTATTTAGTTGTATACGAGACATAACTCATGCTAACTTGGTTATATATACATATCATAACCAATAAATATGTCAAGCTCATGCAGGTAGTCACCTAGGAAAGTCTTTTGCACAATACCAGAGACCTACAGTAAGCTTCAGCAAGAATAGTCTATATAAAGACAACTGCTTTTGTAGTCTGGCCAATGGACAACACATGCACCAAGGATAGTAGTTAATGATATTCAAAGCTTCAAAAAAGGAATTAATTTTCCTGAGAAAAGGGATGTCAACCAAAAGAACTTACCCCCATCTTAGAGGTTTGAGGTGGTTCTTTTGCGGTGAAATAGCTATTTGCTGATTCAAGTTTACCGCCATCTTAGGGGTTTGAGGTGGTTCTTTTGCAGTGAAATAGCTATTTGCTGATTCAAGTTACATGGGGTACTCAATAGGTACCTGGGGTTCTTGACATTAGCAGCTAGAACAATCATTCTCAGTTTTTGGAATCGCACCTATCTGGTACCAAACTCATTATGTGCATATATATGTTGCAGAGTTTACTTTCACTTCAATACAAATGAATTATTTGAGTAACTAATATATCATGTACTGATCGACCCATTCACTAACTAAAATTTTACGCAGGAATTTCCTTACAACATTAAAGCAAACACAAATACTTTTCATATGCACATCTCATATGCAAAACTCACAGTATGTAGCACGCACCTATCCTCCTTCGTTGTTGCCCTTGAGGTCCAGATGGTAATAAAGCATCCAATTGACTCACTAGGACACTGGAAACACTGCATCCACACAGGGAAAAAAAAAAAAAAGCAGTTTGGTGCAAACTATTGATTACATTCAGAACTAACAGCTATGCGGAGCCCAACCACTACAGCATAACATTAACGAGCTACACACATTATGGAAGAATTTTATTGAGTAAGCACAAGCAATCAGCTTTAATCAGAAGATAAGGACAGTGACTATCAACTTTACTAGAGATTTAAATACATGTACCTTACTTCACTCTCTGAAAGATCTTTGGCCTGAGTATATAAAGTTTTGAGCCTTGTCAAGGAAGTATCACCAGGCTTCTCAACCAACTCAGGAGCTGCATTAAAAAGCAAAAAATCAGAGTTAATATAAGAGCTGAAGAGAAATGCTATAAACACAAACAAAACTTCCAAAAAAATTGTTACCAATTATTGCTATAGTTACTCTAATTCATGGAAAACCAATCAAATTTGTTTTCTGTAAACCATTTACCACTGGCGACATCTATATGTAAGAACTTTTGGTTCATTAATATAAATCAGCTCATAGTTGACAGCAAAGAGGATGGGAAAAAAAAAAAAATCAGAGTCATCTACCACGTTAAGTTTGCAAGAAAACTAGCATAGAACTATGAGTGACAAAAAAATAATAGTCCTCCTTCAATTATTCTTTAATCATAGCTGCTTAGCTTACTAAACCAGTTCTCTAAAAGGCAGAAATTTAAACCAACAAATGCCATTCATGTCTGGAGGTTTAATTAGTAAATTATAAACAAAAATTGCAGGTTGGAGAAGAAAGCAAATCTTTAAGACTTGGTTTTGCAGAGGCAGGTTCCAATTTTCCTACTCATTAGCTTCTGCATTGTGATGTGCAGTTAGGCAACAACAGCTCTTGGACTGTAGATAAAGGGCTAAACTTAAGGGAACTAGCATGCGGCTTTGAATGTAATAAACCATTTACATGAGAATGAATCATAAGAACATAATAGGAAAAAAGGCCAAAAAAATAATTATTCTAAATTCATTAAGCCCAGTAAGACATGCACATTTCAAATAAAATGTGCTACAACTCTTACAAGAAAGATAAATAGCAAAACACCATCAAAGGGGAAGGGAAAAAAACTAATTGGTTCAGCATACTATGCCATCAACAATAAAAATTTAATAAGTATCATATTCATAGTCATGTCTTAAGGGGCAGTTTTAACAAAGCTGCTTTGCATAGAGTTTGTGAAACCCAAGACTTGTGCAATGAGAAGGATTCTTTGTATTGCTGCCATCTATTCTCTGATACACAAACAATATCCCATTGAAGATCATGAGATGTATGAGATAAACCTGTATACATTAAAGCTGGTGATGATTAGAATTTGTAGTTTCATCAATTAAATTTCAATACCATCCTCAAAATAAACTTGCTGGCTGACCAAAAAAAAAAAAAACATAATAATTGAGAACCTTTTGAATCACTCCAATACTTGCCCAAAACTGTTTTCTAAAGTTGTTCAATGATCACCCCATTACTGATACAGGACTCTACAGACCATCATAAGGTCTTCTATTTTAATCTTTGTATCAAAGAACAGAATACCTACACATGACCAACGTGATGGTCTTGGATTAGCTCTAGTGTGATTTGTAACACCATATCCAAAACTCTACTAGGAGTTGCTTTAATAATTTTTTGGCTTCATTTATGCACCACGTGTTGTCCTCGTCACAATAATTCTGGATAAACATGCATAGCTATATATGATTAAGGCTACATTAAATTGAGCACAACATAAATTTGTTCAGAACTCCACATGAATCAGCTTCATTTAAATTGGCCCAAGACACATGGTAAAGTTACAGGACATGCTTATGTAACCATTCCTGGAATGGTCATGCAAGATTTGTTTTAAGCCCTATCAAAAGCTATATTAACCACTCCATATAAGGGACCGCAAAAGCATGTTAAATAACGTAAAATCAAAGCATATATGGAAATCAATTATATCTTTTCTCTACAGAAATGTGCGAAACACTTGTAAGCTAACACAAAGATCACTCAATAACAGCTCATTGCATAAGATGCATTAGATCACTCAAAACTCTGTTAACCACACCAAATAAAGCATTACAAGCATAAACCAGAGCATAAGAATCAAAGTGCATTAAGGAACCCATTTATATTCTTTTTTTTCTTTGCACAAAAAAGGAAAACATGAGTAACAGAAATGAAGATCACATGACAACAGTGATTACAGAGTATGCATTAATTCCCATCCAAAGCTAGAATAACCACTCCAAATAAAGCATTACAAGCATATATAACAACATAACAAGGAAACCATTTATTTCCCTTTTCCCAAAGAAACATATAAAATGACAGATTTTTGTTAAGATTCTTTCTCCCATCCCACTTTTTCTAACCAAGTAGCTGCCGATCACAACATCTAAGAAAAAATTCCTAAGATACCAAGCATTTTCTACCTCTTTAAGTCTTTCAAATTGCTTACATCAGATATGTTCATTTTTCTAGCATAACAAACCCCCACCTAAAGACCATCTCCACATCATCAATCCACTACATACGAACTTCAATCAATTCATTCAATAGCCAAATTAAACTGCACCAGAAAACGCAATTTTTTTTTTACTTCCTAAGGATAAATTTAGCTATAACATTAAGTCAGGTGAATGAGTCATTGCTAAATGTTACCACACCTGCATAAAACATGGTCACCAGCAAGCAACCTAAATTACTACATTGCATAGACTTAGATTACGAGTTGCGAAAAGTCCAGTTACGGTTACATGAAAATTCAGCTGTATCAAAACAAACCCATTAAGCAAAACCTCAAATTTAACCCAATCTTAACATAATTGGAGCTAAAACAGGAAAACTTTTAATAACATCAACATTTCAATAATCTAACAAAAACCCATTAATCTATAAGACTAACCAAACATGAAAATAATAATAAAAGAAAAAAATGGAAATTTGAAGAGAAACTTAACTAGCTTGAAGCTTCTTGTGCATTTTGTTAATCTCTAAAAGAACTTCCTCCTGCTCTTTCCTTAACCGATCGAGCTCTCTCGAGTTGTCCAAAATTCCCGCAAAGTCCTGTGACGACATCGTTTCCTTTGAAGAAGCAGAATCACAATGCTGTTGTTGCGTTATTTGAAAAAGAAGAAAAGGAATTGACCTTTTTTTTTTTTTTTTTGGCTAACTGAAGTAAAGTTGGAATTCGATCATGCCTTACGTTGATGTTGATGGTGGTGTAAACATTCTAAGTGGAATCGAAAAACAGAGGATTTCCTTATCCGGTAATTATATAGCAGATATTTTCTTAATTTGCAATTTTGATATCTTTTTTCTTTCTTTTTTAATTTTTGTGCGTGTTAATCGAGAGATAGTTGAGGATTTTTTGAAGGAGGAGGAAATTAGTGGATAATAAAGTAAGAAATATAATTAATTAGTTTGTGTGGTGTAATCGTGTTTTGACACGTGGGAGGCTGTAAGAAAAGTGGAGTGGTTCATCAATGAAATCTTGTGAAGCAATTAGTATGGAGGGATCCTCTCATCATCTTAGCTAGAGTATGACGTCTGTGTTCATTTAATCGGAGCCTTCTAAAATAAATTGACGGTTGAGATTTTAGTAGCTAATGTTTCCTTAATAAATCACTAAAATTTATGACCGATCCACCATTATTATTTTACCAAATGAATATAAAGGAAGAGGAAGATCAATTATTTGTTTTTTAAAAAAGATATTTATGGTTTAGCCTATCTATTGCACTTATAACACATTGTTTACCATATCCGTAATCTAGAAAAGACTTCGATTGTTTGTAGGATTTATTTTAAATATCTTTCGAGAAGCATTTGATATGGAAGAATTTCAAATTACTCGCAACAAGATCACAAATATGTGTATTTGTTTTGGTTACTAATGTTACTTTTCGTGTATCAAAACTATTAACATTCGAGGTTATACGTAATTAAAAACGAAAGATCGTTTTTTGGGCATCATTCCCTCAAAACTAGAGAATGTGATTCCCTTTTAAAATGAGAAAAATCTAATATTCGATAGTAATTAAGAATTATCATAACCTAATTTTAATCCTCTTTAATTTTATAAAAATAGAAAAATCCAAAATTTGTATTTTATACGATTTCTTTGATTTTCTAAATCATGAAAGTATTTTATGCGTTTTTTTTTTTTGGTGAGTTTTGAAAATAAAATCGAGTGAAAATAAAACGAACATTGAGAAAATTAAAGTACAAATATTGAGAATAGAAGGTGAGAGCATAAAAAGTAAAAAAGAAAGAAAGAAAATACAAATGCAAGTTGGATATTCTATTCTCGCTTTGTTTTTCGTTATCCAAGCTTTCTCCAATCATTTAATATTTCTTAAAAGTTAATCGAACTAGTTAAACCATACACAAATATTAAAAAAAAAATACTAAAACATTTGGAGGTTTTACTCGTATCTATAGAATCGGTGGCACCGTAGGCTTTAAAACCCGATTTTTTTTGTGATTTTTGCACTATTTTCAAGCAATTATACGTAATTATACAAAATTTTACACTTTGGTCTCCAGAGGTTTCCAAATTTTATTTTTTGATCCAAAATTTCATTTGTGACATACTTTAGTCTCTAGGTGCAAGGAGGAGAGAGAAACAAAGAGAGAGAAAGAAGGAGAAAGAGGGCATCGACCAAACTTATTTCGATCACTTTGGTCAACAATATTCCATTCAATTTGTTTATTCGGGAGAGTTGAATTTGTTTATTATAGTTTTAAGATATAAAATGATTAAATTAGGTAAATTAGGATCTCAAAATATTATGAATTTTTAAACTTAATTTAGTTTTTTATATGCATTATAATCAATTTTAAAGTTTCAAACATGTTTTCTTACCTCATTTCGATGTTTTTAAATGTTTTAACTCTAAAATGATGCATGAGTTAAGTTTTAATATCGAAAAACTCAAACACTCGCTTTGCAATGAACTTTTTAGAGAACTCAAGGTTGATGAAAGTTGCGGCAAACGACGTGTCGTTTGCTAATTTCTCTCTCTCGTGACATGTTGCTAGCACGGACCACCCGAGCCTACTTCTATAAGTCCGCGCTTTGGGTTTACGAGCCTATAGGCACGAGCTTGGCTTGCTTGTTTTTTTCAATAATTTTTTAATTATTGATTTTATGCTAAATTTATGGGGAAAAAATAATCTTTTTTTTCATGTAGCATACCGATTAAAAAATATATTTGTTTCAATTTTCATTTCTAATTTTTTTATTTTACTTTTAAAATTTAAAAGGACTTCTTTGATTTGTATTTTTTTTTATGAAAACATCAAATTAATTTTTTAGTTAATTTTATTTATTAAAAAATATGAGTTATTTTTCTCAATGTATGAATTTTGAATAAATTTTAGAATATGATTAGTTTTTTTTTTAAAAAATAAATTAATATAATTCATATGATAAATTCTTATGATTTTTAAATGAGGGTAATATATAATCTAAATATTAGAAATGTATTTCGGATACTTTGTCTTAAATTTAAAAAAATATATATATTTTTTTAAAAATAATCTATAAGAAAAAAGAATTTTACATGTGTTATTGCTTCTTCTTTATGTAATAAAAATTTATCGAAGTTAATTTTATAGTAGTTTTTAATTCAATCTATTAACTTCAAATTCATTTAATACACACACACATAGTATTGCATTTTGGCAATTTGGGACCCAAAGTATGAAATTGCATAATTTCAAACCCAAAGTATTGGGGATGGGCAAATTTGATCTATACTTGTCTAATCCACTACTTCATTTTTTATTAGTTGAAGCCGCGAGGAATTGAAAGGGATAAGATAGACCTTTTCAACTCCTCTCTTAAAAAATTAGGTTTCGAGTGGGAATGATTAATTGAAAAGGAAAGAATGGGAGATATTGGGAGATTGATAGCAATCTTGCGAGAGTTGTCTCTTAAGAGTTAGATTTCAATTAGGTTTTTGGCTAATTGAAGTGAATTGGGGGTAAAGAGAGTCTTAAAGTCTGTCTTTTTATTGTGATCCTTTACTTTTTATCGATTTTTTTGTCAAAATCTATTGCACAATGTGAAATTCAGCCTTGTTATTACATATTGGAGAAAAAATTTTTTGAAATCCTCGACTTGAAGTACATTGAAGGTGTGTGTGAGATTAAATTAGTTGACATTGATTTTTTTTTCATTTTTGTCTTTGAAACAAGTCATTAGAAGTTTTAGGTGAATTGATCCTCAAAAGATACATTGTAGGGTATTGAGGAATGGTGATATATTAGAAACTAAGTTGATATGTGTGTATATTGAAGAGTCTTCATTTTCATATTTGGATGATTTTCTTAGGTAAGAAAATATGTAGTTTTTTTGTGAGGGATATAGTTAGGTTAGTGAAACATAGGAATGGACTGATTGATCTTGAGGATGGTAGTGATAACGTGGTCTAGGAATAGCTTGTGGGGTGAAATATGGATGTTGATGGTAGCAATTGTAAAGGCGAGTAGTGGCATTAAGCTTATTGATATTGTAATTTCTTGTGAAAATAAGGGTATTGATGCAACTAATGAGGGAGGGCAATTTAATAATATGGATGGTTGTTGTTGGGAACATGAGCGGCATGGCACCCAACACAATGTTAGTCATGTTTTTGAAAGCACCGAGGTAGGGCTTGTGTTAGATGACGTTCGGTGGAAAGATAGAGATAATGTTGATAGCAACGAGTAAGGGGTGGACAATTAAGAGGGAGAAAATAGTGAGTCTAGTTTAAAAGATAGTGAAGATGATGGGTATGGTTATGATAGTGTATTGTAGGCTGAATGATGAGGCGGAATTAATTGATATGTCATGGCTTACTAATAATGATGATGAAAAGCTAATGGTCTGTTATGAATAACTTTATAGAGTTGAAACAATCTAGGAGTAAAAAACATATTGTAGTTGTCCTTAAACTACCACCGAGTTGATACTCGACAATCCAATAGCTAAAGACCTAAAGGTAGTGATACCGAAGAAGAGGTAATTAATATAAGTTTCTATGAGTTTGATTCGAATGAAGATGGAAGTCATGAATTAAACAACGATGATGATGGTGAAATAGATCATGCAAGGAGAAAAAAGTCCAAAACTATGTAT